GAGTCTCTATCAAGGGCCATCTCTGTCCCGTACCCTAGAGAGAATGATAGCCCTTCATGCCACTCAACGCCTCAGTGGAGCATATCGTATCCCAAATACAAGATGACCCCACGCTCCGCTGGCCTGAAAAAATAAAGTTCGTCCCGAATCGGAGGAATCCAAGTAAGTATTGTCGTTTTCCACTGTGACCATGGCCATGCCACCGACGATTGTTTCCAGCTAAAGAGACAGATCTAGGAGCTTATTCAGTGTGGTCAGTTACGACAGTATGTTGCTGACCGAGGACAAGCCCCACCTCTCGATAGGAATCAAGAGGATTGAGAACACCAGCAACCCCTTGGAGAGATCCAGACGATCTTTGGAGGGTTAGAAAGAGGATGTGACTCCAACTCTGCCAGGAAAACTCACACCCGAAAAGCCAAACAGGCAAAGTTACATGACTCCCGCCCAATGAAGACGCCCTGACACAGGGAGGAAGAGGTAATCACCTTCTCGGACAGAGACCTCGAGGGGATCCAAGTCTCTCATGATGATTCTCTAGTCTTAACCTTGATGGTAGCCAATTACCAGGTTAAGAGAATCTTAGTCAACAGCGGCACTTAGCCGACATTCTATTTGCACCAGCTTTGACAGCCTTCATTTCGGCAAGAAGAGATTACAACCCGTCAGGACTCCCATTGTTGGCTTCTCGGATGAGAGAGTTTATCCCTTGGGTTCCATCACCCTGCCGGTTACAACAGGAATAACACCAAGGATTTTCACCATCATGGTAAACTTTATTGTACTTGATTGCCCCTCTGCCTATAATATTATTCTTGGACGCCCAACACTCAACACTTTAAGGGCAGTACTGTCTACCTACCACTTTCTCCTCCATTTCCCTACCACCAGTGGGATTGGGGAGATTAGAGGAGACTAGATCCCCACTCAGGAATGCTATATGGCCTCTATAAGGGCCAAGAGGCCATACTCTCCAAGTTGAAGTACTTGACCCGAGGGATAACAGCCCCTTGGAGAAAAGGGAACCAGTAGAAGAACTTCGGCCAGCAATAGTGGATGAAAGCTTTCCAGAGACGAGAATCTATATAGGCTTCTCACTTTCCCAGGATCAAGCATCTGATCTGCTAAACTTCCTCAGGCAGAACACGGATGTCTTCGCCTAGTTCTATGAAGACCTGGAGGGCATCGACCCCAGAGTGGTCTCCCACCGACTCATATTCGTAAAAATCTTTATCAAGTTTTGCACATGTTGACTCAAGATTCTTTTTTGAGTTTACAAGTTCATGACACTATCTCTCAAGGAAGCTTAGTCGATTAAGGAGAGACTTCTTCTCTTCCTTTAGCCCACATATTTGAGCATTGGACTTCACTAAATCCATAGAAGTGCTTTTCTATCTTCTTCACTTGAGTAAACTTGACCACTCAATGAAAGAATCTTCTCTCTTTGTTTGAGCAATTGTACATACAATTGATCATATACATAGTTTATATCTTCGAAAAATTCTTCATCCTCCACACATGTGGGGATTTCCTCTTCCAAGTCTTCTACCACCATGGTAGGATGTGCTTCAACTTCACTAGTTGAAGTTTCTCTAGGGTTGAGGAGAGTGGACCTACAAAGGCCGCAAAATTCTCTTCATCATCTTGAGAAGAGGATTCATCACTTGATGTGGACTCACTTTTACAGTGGCTCCATTAGGCCTTCATAGCTCTCTCATTTTATTTGGGCATATCTTTCTTGATTCGATTTGAGCATTCTGAAGCTATGTGTCCAAATTCTTGACACTCAAAGCATTGGAATGCTTGCCTCTTTCTCTCAACCACTTGTTGAAAGCCTCTTCTCCCCTTATCTCTTCCCTCTTTAGGAGTAGTAGGTTTACTAGGCTTTCCTTTCGACCTTAAGGACTCTACATTGCTAGTCTTGAAATACTTTTTGAATTTTCTCGCAATTAAGGCTAGGTCTTCCTCTCCTAATCAGGATGACTTGGATTTCCCTCCCTCTTCTCTAGTTAAGCTTAAAGAAATGCCCTTAACTTTCTTTAAGGATGAAAGATTCATCCAAAAGTCAATATTGACCCAACTAGGTCTTCAACCAACATCGACTCCATGTTAACACTTGTTTCCAATGATGTAACATTTGCATGAAACTTTTTAGGTATAGATCTCAAGTTTTTCCATTTGATGCCTACATCTTCAACCTTGGTACCTAATGCAAAAAATTAATTTACAATATCCCATTTACCGTAAAACTCACTAAATCATCTTGCATCTTCACCATGGAAGTCCATTTGTGGGAAACAACCAAGCTGCCCCAAGCTCCTTTTGAAGTCTCGTGATTAGCAATCCTCCAAAACTCATTAGGTATCACGACATTGAATATCGCATTCAAGCCTAGAGTTTCATCTTGCCGATTCATTCTCGATTTTCAACCAAGTCTTTAGGGATTTCATTTCAACCACTGTTTCACCACTTTCGACTTATGTGGTGGAGGTGAGATGGCTCCAACCCTCTTGCAAAGTCAACCACACTCTCTCATCAACAAATTTTAGAAATGCTCTCATGCGAGTTTTCCAATAAGAAAAATTAGATCCCTCAAAGAGTAGTGGTCGTGCAATTGAACCACCATTCTTCTGAGACTCCATTCAAGACTAGCTTGTAGTAATGATAGATTTCAAGAAGGAAAACACTTAGGTGTGTCTACGTGAAACTTAAGGCAACCGTGCTCTAATACCAATTATTGTTCCGAGAAGGGGGAAAATTATGTGGATCTTTCCTCACGATTATACAAGTGGAGCGCACGACACTACCTAGATGGAAGTGAATAGATTTTTCAATTTTAGCATAATCGCTGACAAATTAACGGTGAGAACCTATTTTAGTCACCACAAACCCTTACACTCATGACAATTGATCTTAATTAATATTCAATTAATTCACTTAAACAATCAATCTCACGACGATCCCAAAATTCAAACTCAAACACAACTATGATTGATTTATATTTCAAGCATTCAAATCATAAAACACATAGTGCGTATGTGTGCTAACAAATGCAAGTGTGCATGTAAACAAACAAGATAAGCACAAGCAATTTATTGACATGGAAAACCCTCATCGGGAAAAATCTCGGGAAACCACTCAGAGTTTACCAAAATCCAATCCACTACTCTAAAAGTCGACATACAAGAACTTGAGTCTTATACCTCAACTAATGTCATGGTTAGATGTTCCATTCCTTTAATATTTCTCTCCCCTGAAAGTCCCTATTTGACATCTTGTGTAACTTTACTTGTATTCACCTCCATCAAGGATCCTCTAGGTCTCTAGCAATCATGGGCACGTTAACGATTCCCGGTATGCATATACCAATAAGTTTGGTTTAAACCATCAAGATTTTCAACACCAAATTGTGAGGTTGGGTAGAATCTCTAGTAGTAGCCTTGGGTCTTAGGGGATCTAGGATTGTGGTGAAAGTTCTGTAGGTAGAATATGAGTTTTCTCTTTCAAAAGGTGTACAAGAGGCTTACCCTAGCTGAAGGAAAGACATTCCATATTTATAGGTCCGAAATAAGGTAATCTTGGTTAACAAAAAAACTTAGATTCCTGAACGAAAGCTCAATTGATGAGAGGACGGTTATAGGGTGGTTGTTACTAGAATGAAAATCACGTTTCAAACCTGATTAGGAGAGGCAGACCGCTCGAGTGATTATAAGACCGCTCGAGCGAGGTCAATGTCCTCTACTGTAGCCTTTTCCCTCTTGACTTTCCTAAGTCATCAAGAGCTACTCTAATGAAAGTTAGTGAGTATATATCGATCCCTACTAAATTTTAAGCATAAAACTAAACAAAAAACTTGTCTTCTTGAGCACTAAAGAGTGTTGCTTAAGAGGGTTTCGATAATGGCTCAATCTATATATTCAAAAATAAAAAAAATAGTTTTGGAAAATCTTTTCTTTGAAGTACACCTAGGAGCTATACACGGATTATTTCTAATTCCATTTAATCATAATCCTCTTGAGTTAAGTAATTAATAATTTATCTTATATATCTAGGTCATTATCTTTGTTCTAAGCTGAAAGGTTCATTCAAAGTGTGAATGATGCAATTTTGATACTTGATCTCCTCCCTTTAATGTCGCTTTCGAATCTTTAATCTTTATAGCATCATTATCATAGAAAATGTTGAGATTTATAATGAACTCCACGAAATTAGCCAATTACAAAAAGTGATTTAAGAAATTGGCAAGTATATTAGGATTAAATGATTTTCTTCTTAAATCACTATTTTTATCAAAATTGACCAACAGAGACATTATAGTTTTTTGATGAAGATGCAAAGGGAATACATGTAAAATGACAATTTATATCCTGAAAGATTATAAAATTTTTAATTTATACCCTCAAAGGTCAATTATTTCAAATTGCATCTTCAATTAAATTAATTATTAAAAATGTGACTTTACCATAATGTCCATTATGATTTTTATCAAATTGACAGACACGTGAGACATACGTAAAAAGAGAAAGGACCATAATCCAACAAAAGTCGTTACGTCCGTCTCACATGACTGTCAATCTTACATAAATCACAACGGACGTTATGGTTTAGGCCACATAACCACTTAATTTTATCGAAGGTGTAATTTAAAATAATTGATTTTTAAGAGTGTAAATTAATATTTTTTTTAATCTTTTAGGGTACAAACTACTATTTGCCCTATAGTTAATGTGGGTCTGGTATGGCCCAAAAATCTGTCGGTCCCCTTATTGGGCTCGTTGAAGCCAGACCAGGCGGCGTGAAGTCGGTAGACCCAAGACTCAACACAACCCGACCGAGCGACGAGAAATGCGTCCGACGACAGCTGCGGCAAGAAAAGAATAGAATAAAATACGGCGACGAAGCGAAGAAGAGAAGTGAGGATGCATGGGAGGAAGAAGATGAAGCTGAACCTCATCATCAGCTTCACCTTCTTATGAAAAATAAAGAAGTAGACATATTTGATGGCCAGTAGTTCTGGGCATCGCTGCGTTTTCGGTTCGTTCACGACTTCTCTCTCTCAATTTCGAATTCATTTAGATGTAATTAATTTATTGATTATGTTTTGAATTCAACTCTAATTTGTTATACGATGAAGACTTTTTTTGTGATAGATTGAATGTATGTGGTAATAATAAGATTCAGAATGGAATTTATGATATGATATTCTGCTGGGTGGCTTTATCTGGATTTGTTTTGTGCTGTTGGTTATTCGTTTATTTTGGGTGATAGTTGGGAACATACCATATGATGCCACTGAGGAACAGCTCGTACAGATCTGTGAGGAGGTTGGCCCTGTCGTGTCTTTCAGGTCAATTTTCTTTTTTATTTTTTTTGACATCATTATGTTGGAAAAACTACTGAATCTGGTCTTTTGATGAGGCATAGTATCTGTTACAGCATAGTTAAAGCAAACTTGTATGCGTATGTTATGCACAGAGTAGTCCATTCATCTTTTAAAAACCAGAATATTCGTTTATAACTAAGTTGGATGCAATCAACATCAAAGTTTCCAACTAGATGTAAAAGGAGGTAAAGTCCACCCTCCTACCGCTAAACAGAGTTGTTGAAATTTTTTTCGGATTATGTATTTTTTTAACTTTATCTTTCATAAATGCAACTGAAATAGAGTAATTGAATTTCCCAAGTTACATAATTAGCAACAAGAATGTGAACAACACTTGAACATGAGCTAAAATAGTGATTATTTAGAATGCGATGATGATTAAAACCAGATATAAAGCATGTACTATATATAATATTTTGCAGCATAAATACATTGACATTAATGGGCCTTTGAGTATGAGTGTCGTGAAATCACTCTTCTTAAGTAGCTGAGTCTCTTTACGTGAGGGTACTGACGAACATCAACAATTTCAAGATTCAACTCAAATATTTGCAGTAGTTATCCCTCAATGATAACACCCACGAGAAGACAGGGATGAAGCTGACTCAAATCTAAGTAACCTATAAAACATAATATATGGAGAATAGTATGTAACAATTGAAGTTGAAACAGAGAGCAAGGAAGGTCTTAGAATTTGAAATGTGTTTGATTGGTCAGGTATGCTTGTTTATAAAGGCAAGGGGCTTTACCAATTATGGGCCTTAAAAGCCTTAATGACTAGTAACCCCAAGACTTGCAAAGGCTAGTTACAAAATTAGACCTCTAACTACTTAGCTCATAAAATCAAATATGTAGTTGAAATCTGGGTTAAAATACCCATATACATGTTTGTAATTGAAATATAAACTTGTTAATATTGAGCATTAAATTTAAGCAAGATATAAAATGAAAATTTTGGGCAAAAAATCTTCATGGTGAAAGCCACAAAATTTTCATTGTGAAAATTGAGCAAAAAATCTTTATTGTGTCACTCGAAGAAAATTCTTTAACCAAATTGTTTCATATTACAACGTTGAAATGACTATTTTGTTCTGTTGATTGGTTTTGAATGTGTGCAATGGCTAAAGGAAAATATTTATGAAGTAATGGCATGAAAAAATAGGGGACTGTTTTTTCGGAAAAACAGGGTGATGTTGTGTTTGGGCTATATCATAGGGGATTTTATTTGAATCTCAAAATTGCAGTCTAGCGGACGGAGATTTGGTCTAATTGGTCCTAAGGGGTTTAATGGAAAAGAGTGGACCGATTTTGCTTTGTTATTAGTTAAGGAGGGAATTAACAGGGACATGAGTTGAACTAGTGATAGATGTAGAGGGATTACTGCGAATAAGGTTGATGATGAGCTGAGGAGAAATTCAATGGGCAATAAATTGAATATTAGAGAGGAAGGGATTTGTATTAATGTGGTTGTGTGCATTAAGGATAGGTTTATTTCAAGTTGGAGAGAAATACGGAGAGCATTGTCTAAGTCTGAAAGTCACAATTCAACTAAAGCCATTTCATGGCAATAAAACCATTTTCTCGTGTGGGGCTTGTGCCAATGGTGAAGGAATGTGTAGGTTTGAGAATCGTTTCACAGATAGTTTTGTTTTCATAAAGTTATGACAATGGAGGAACAAATCAATCTCAGTGGGAATCAAGGTCTCCTTTAGGCGGGAGATAAAAAGTGCTGGTCCGCTTTCTGCTTCATTCCAACCTCATTGGAATTTGATTATCACGGAAAAACATTCAAACTTTGAGTCAGGGAGGTAGTACTGATTCTTAATGAATCTAGGTGCTAGGAAGAGGGGGTTGATTGGCCCGTGGAATGATGGAGTGAATGATTCCTTTAATTGCGATATTTCCCCAGGTAACAACGTCATCAAGGTTCATTCAAATGTTGAAAGACATATTAGTAAGGATAATAAGGTGGTAAGAGCGATTAGTTAGTGCTGGGTTGGGGTTATGGACAAAGTGGATTTTGGGGCCCTTAGAGCTGTAATATAAGCAACAAACTTGACTTTGAGAAATAAAAGAAAAGAGATGCTAGCTGCAATCAAATTAAAGCGCTTACGAGTAAGAAAGGGCTCCTTAGGATACATAGCCTTTTTCAAGTCTAAGAATAGAGTCCATTTTATTTCTATACTCCTTGCCATGTAGAATTCTTCTCAAGATGTGAGATTTTGGTTGACTGGCATGTGAAAACAAAACTATCCCATATTAAGTTCTCCAATAACTTCACTTAGTCAAGAAATTACTTGCGTTTTTCATGATTTTCACCATAAATTTATTTTTGGGTTTGGACATCATTTTTGTGAGATTTTAAATAATGTTTTAACAAGTCATATCTATTGGTGATATACTTAGATCACATAGAGTGGAAGCAGGGATGAAAGCGAGAGCGAGAGTGGGAGCGCAAAAGCTGCAAAATTCAATAATTCTTAGAGCGGGAGTACCATATATATACATACATGTTTATATTTATAAAAGTTAGTAAAAATACAATTTAAAAAATTAAATTCATACAAATATTTGATAAATTATTTAAATTTTGTTTCCTAGTAATTTGGCTTTTGAATCAAAATAATAGTGCGAGTGAATGACAGAATAGAATACAGTTGGAAGGCATTTCTATGCATAGAACTTTGTCCCACATTAGAAAGGATGGAAATATGGGCAGTTAGACAAGGCTATAAAAAGGGCCTTCCACCACCACTTGACTTTGTTAGTGCATCCACGAGGAACCTTTCGCCTTAGTTTATTTTTTTGTTTTTTTCCCCTGATCAGGGACTAGTTGGAGTTCAAAAATTAAATTCGCGGATTTATAATTTGAATTCATGATTTCAATATATTGAGAGCGAATTTATCAAGAATTTGCTTTCAAATCGCGAATTCGTGCATGGAGTGATGGAGCGTGACCTATTTTAGACGAATTATGTGATTCATTACACATATTTTTCTCTCTAATAACTGATGCTATAACTAGTATCAATTTGCTTGAATTTGATGAAGATTCAAGACAGTTGTGACACCCCATGAAGAGAATCTTCTTTCCATACCTCCTCAAGTGCAAGCTCCTGCATACCATTGTGAATTGCAAAGTGGGTAACTATGCTGGTATGCATTTTACTCTCATGGGATAAATTGGTCACTGAGCTGTTTGTGTATCCAGAAGTTGACCTGTTTAAATGATGCTTACACTGTCCTTTTAAGTTATACGGGTACAAGAAAAAGGATCTTTGATCGATCAAGTCTTGTGAAACAGTTAAGAGAGTTCTGCCTTAATAGTTGACCCAACACCTTTGAGGCTATGCTTGCTACTAGTAGGTATTATGCTCAAATAAGTTCAGCGCGAATCATGAAACTTGATAATGTCTTCCCACATTACACTAGGTAATACGAGTATTGATTGCAATGAAGCCTATACTTATTACTTGCTTCTTGATTTGACTAGAATTCTTGTTCTACACCTTAAGAGCTAATGTGCTAACCGATCCATTGATATTAATTCACGCCAACTAAGCTGTGAACAAGCTAAGTTCCTTTGACCTCATTCATGTCGGAAATGCTTGATTGTTCAACAAGATCTGTTAGAGATAGTTGTCAATAAAACTTCTTGAGTTAATTAGAAGCGGATATATTTTCCTTTTATAAATCTATTTTGTTTTTCTTATTGTTAAAGTTTCTTAAGCAATTGCATGAATGATTGTTGTTACTTGCTTTCATTCAGATTAGTTATAGATAGAGAAACCGGGAAACCAAAAGGTTACGGATTCTGTGAATACAAGGATGAAGAAACAGCGCTAAGTGCTCGTCGCAATCTTCAGGGATACGAGATCAATGGTCGTCAATTGCGTGTTGATTTCGCTGAAAATGATAAAAATTCTAATGGAAATCGAGAACAGGTAAAAAATTTTAGATATTCAGCGAAACATTTTTTTTTTATTGTAGTCACTAAATTGAGTTTTCTTACTTTGATTTTACTGGCTTTCTATACCATTTATCTCCATCGAGTTGTGTGTTGAATTATTGGTCGCTAATGTCACTGACAACTTGACCAATAAAGATGCATTTCTTGGTTGTCTTCATTGTTGAAAATTGAAGAATAGATAATCAAGATGGTAGTTAGAAGAATGTGCATTGGTCCTTGATGTCACTGATTGCATGAATGCTTTAGATGTGTTTCTCTGTTGTGTCATTGTCCAATTTGAAGTGTAGATAACGGCCATTGTAGTTGGATGATTTTGCATGTTGGCCAAGAGTATCAAATTCTATAAAATTCATATGAAAAATTTTTAACTATTGATTTTCATAAATTCTAAAATTAAATGCTTAATTTTTTAAAAACAGAGTGTGTGGATGAGATTGACCCTGACACGCCAAGACAAACATACTTGACCTAGAGGAAGGTTAATAGGTCTTATGCACTTGAACACATAATTAATGACCAATTAAAACCTATTACACTCGATTAATGATTAATCAATTAGTTAATGCAATTAACACCTCGATCATTTTGACCCAAATTTTCAATTAGTGAATTTATGCAAAATATCGAAATTTAATCAATTGCAATCGCGCATAATCTACATCTTATCACCCTATATCTCAATCACCAATTCAATAAAATATAAGAGGCTAACATTGCAAATCGGATTCACTTAAGTAATTTATCGAGCATGTGTAGGAATAAAAATTGCAAGTATGTAACTCATTCAAGAGACAAACAAAAAGTACAAACCTTAAAGTTTTATTTTTCAACCAATACCATGGTCAGACGTTTTCTCACTTGAATGTTCATTCTGAAGTCCATTGCAAGCTTTTGACAACTAGTTTTAATAAGTGACAAATTGAGCTCCACTATTTGCCCTTGGTATCATCCTTTGATCCTTGGATGTCTCCTTTGATCCTTGCTTTATGGGTTTTGGGTGTTCTACAAGATCTCTCAAAACTATTGATGAATTTCTCTTAAGAACTCTAGATTGGTCGACTAGAGTTTGGGTTTTGTTTTTGGGTGCTAGGGTAAGCCTCTTGAACATCTCTAAGCTTTTCCTAAACCCTAATTTATCTCCCTTAAGTTAAAAAAAAATTCTATTTTTATTGGTAGAGAAAAATAGAGGTGGATTGGCAAACAAGAAAACTTGATTGCGACACATCTTGAGCGGTCCAAGGAACGGTCATAGGGCGCTGACCACTAGAACAGTTTTCTTCGTAGTCGTGAACAGTGGATTGTTGATCATTGTTTTATAATTCTCATGCACAGTCCATTTTCTTTAACCTCCAGAGTGCTTACCACTGGTTTTCCATCTAAACTATGGTTTTTTTTTTCCAACATTCTAAGTACCAAGGGGTCAAACTTGAAAAGTCTCCGTACTATTACTCTTTTATACACGTTTTGAACCCTCAAAAGGTTCAAAAATTTGTTTCTCAAAAACACGAGGCATGTTACAGATATTCATACACACACTTTAAATCCATTTTGACCGCATAAGTTAAACCATTCTAAGGCAACTAGGTATCTAGATTTTTTTACCTCACCTAAGCTTAATGGGATCCAAGAAGTCTTCACGTGTAACAATGGGGCTTGAGTTTTTTTTACCACATTTTGCTTTGGTGTTCAATCTTCACAAATATCTTGACCATGGATTAAGTAGAGATATAAAATAAAGTGACCTCGTAGAATTTGCCAATTACAATCAATTTTCTAACAATCTACTCATTTGCCAATTTTGTGACCAAACATACAAGATTAATGTGTTGATTTAGTATCCCACCCATCCTCTAATGGCCATACTTATTACTAATTACCTTATGCCAAAGGGAGTTAGGTTCTAATGGGAACCTCCATAACCATTTACCTACCATGAAAATGTTTTTAGACACTAAATTACCAATTTCCAATTCCCCTTTGTCTATAGGTTTGCAAACTGTCTCTCAACACACTAAATGATCCCGCATATCATTTCCCATCCAACTGCTATAACTACTGCTATAAAAATTCTAAACATAGACAAATAGCATAAGAAAATACTAGACAAACAAGCTTTTACCAAAGTAATCCTTCCTCCAAGAGAAAAATATGACGTCTTTCAGCCATCTAATCTTTTATTCATTCTTTTAATTGTCGGATCCCAAAAAGGCAAATGAGAAAGTTGAAGAGCATGGAGAAGAAAATGAAGGTTTTGTGTTCAAAGTTTATATTGAAAAAACTTATGATAATATTGGATTGGGATTTTTTAAAGTATGTCATGGATAGGAAAGACTTTGGATTGAGATGGAGGAAGTAAATTATGGGACGCCTTAGGTAAATGAATTTCCTAGTCATAAATAATGGAGCATGGTAAGGTTGCTTTACACCTACTAGAGGCCTCTGGTAAGGAAATCCCCATTCCCTTTTTTTATTCACTTATGTGGATGATTTTTTGTGTAGAATGATGGATAAGGCTAGTAGTACAGAAGTGATTGAGGGGTTTAATATAGGTTGAGAAAGAGTAGAGATTATCCCATTTGTAATTCGCAGATGATACCATTTTCTTTTGTGATGGAGATGAAAAGAATATTTACTCAATGGCGTTGGTTTTAAAATGTCTTGAAACGGGCCTTAAAGTGAACTAATCCAAGAGTCCAATTGCAAGAATTAACGTGCAACAAGAAAGGTTGTTAGGGTGGCTAATACTTTAGATTTCAGTGTTTCAGATGTCCCTAAAGTACTTGGGTTTGCCCTGGGGGGGAGGGGAATTTAAAAACACTTAGTTTCTATGAACCAGTGATTCATAAGATTAACAAAAGATTTGATGGGTGGAAAACAACCTTTTTGTTTTGAGGGGGTAGAGTCATCTTAATTCATTCCATGCTTGAGAGTATCCTAATTTACCGCATGTTCTTGTTTAGGACGTGTTTGAAGGTTGTGAAATTGATTAAAAAGATGATGATAAATATTTTATGGGAAGGTAGTGATGAATGCGAGAAAGATTATCTTGTAAGTTAGGATGTTGTGTTTGGATCTAAAATCAAGGGAGGCCTAGCATTGGGTAACCTAAAATCTAGAAATACAGCTCTACTTGGTAAATAGATTTTTAGATTCCCCAAGCACAATAGTCTATCACATTTAGTGATCGAAAGAAAATATGATATTCATGTTAATGGGTGGGATTCTAATGTGAGTAAGAGAGGTTGTTATTGTTGCCCTTGGAAGTTCATTTTCCAAGGATTTTTTTTTTTTTTCACAAAACTTTGAGTATGTTCTTGGTAATGGTGAGAAGATTCGCTTTTACAAGATGTCTTTTTGTATCCTTATATTCTCATTTATATCGATTATCTAGATCTCATAAATCAACCATCACTAGTATGATACCCTTTTTTTCCTCCAATATTAGTTGGGACTTTAACTTTTCAGAAACTTGAGGGATCGAGAAGTGGATGAATTGTTTCTCTTTTGGATGTCCTCGACAATGTTGTTTTGAGACAAGATTCTTTGGATAAAAGAATATGGATCCTTTCTTCCTCAGCTGTATTTCTTGCAATTCTTTCTTAGATTCTTTGATTGCTAAACCATCTCATTCTTTCTTTCAACCTTGTTCTTTTGTTTGAAAGAGTAAGGCACCTTTAAAGATACAAGTTTTTGCATGGTTAATTGCACATAAGAGACTAAATGGTATTGGCTTGCTCCAAAAAGGAGGTCATCATATTCTCTTCAAACATAATGGTGTATCCTTTGTAAGAAAGAAGGGGAGAGCATCGATCATTTGATCCTTCATTTTGCTTTTCTCTTTAGTTGTGGGATTACCCCTCAGGTGTCATTAGGATACCTTAGGTGGTTCCAAGTATCTGTGATTTGCTGCTTACAAGGATAAAAAATGCATTTAAAAGTGTAGTTCCAGTCAGCCCGAAAATGGAAACCTTTCGGAAATATTTCGAAAATGCAGTGGAAAATAGAGAAAAAATTTGGAAACATGTGGAACTTTGTGGAAACATAACTTAAAATCTCTTTATTTAGGTAGATATGCTTAACAATAGATAGATTAATGAGGCATGTTTATTGCCTAAACATCCATCTTTAGTAGTTTGTATCATTAATTGAGTACAATTTAAAAATGGTACTATACCAATTGTATTATTTGTGTCATCAAATTAGTAATTACTGTTATTCCATTTATACTGATTAGATTATGTAGGCATTTGCTATATAAATGGAAGAGTTTTAATAAGAAAGGGCATTGGGCGAATATGACAATTTGCAAAGAATAAAAATTACTAACAGATTCTGTAAAAGTAGTAGGAAAAGAAAAAAAGAAAAAAAGAAAAAAAGAAAAGAAAAGCAAAAATAGATAGAGAGACAACCGTACGCCTAGCGTGGATTCGAGAGAACGAGAGAGAGAAAAAGCAGCGATTGGAATTGGCAAGCGACTTAAATATTGGCCAATGGAGAGAGAGATGCAAACAGAGTAGGTACGTAAAGGAAAAGGAGTTTGGGAAGAAGTAGGAGAGGAGGAGTAAAGAAGAAAAGCAAGAGATCGGAAGAAGAACATACTTGGTTCAAATCTGGTTGTGCCTGTGTCTGTGGGTGCTGGATGGATTGCCTCTTCTACTCCAACTTGCTTTGCTGTGTTTTCTTCCTCTCTCTCTCTCTCCTTTTATTTTTTCTCACTTTTTCCTCTGTTGAAGCCTTCTTCAAATGAGATGAACAAATCTCTTCTCTTTGCAGTTAAATTGCTTCTTCGAATCAGGCTACTGTTTTGCCCGAAACAGGTTGAAATGGTGCCGCTTTGTTGGAAACAGAAGAATTCTGAAATTTCACCCCCCTTCTCATTTCATGAAATTGAAACGTTTTGTGCATTTCGGCTCTTTCGAAATGCCTTTTGGATGCGTGGTTGCTTAGTACTGAATTTGATGGTTTTGGTTCATGTGCTAAAGCCAAGATTTTTTTGGAGATGTGCAGTGTTGGCCTCGTTTTGGGGTTTGGTTGGAAAGAAATGAGCAAATATTTGAGGAAAAAGAGGTCTATTGGGAAGATCTATGGAAAAAATCTCTTTTGTTGAATATCTTGGAGTGTGCAAGTCCAAGGACATTGAAGGGATTTCTTTATTTGTTGTTAAAGACCATTGGACTCAAGTGGGTGAATAATGATCTCATTTGAGTTCTTCATTTTCCTTTTGTTATCAGGTCTTGTATTTGCTTAGGCTTTCCTTTTCTTTCTTTCTTTGTGTATCTTTTGAGGACTTCTTGTCGGCCCATGCACTATTTTCTTTAATGACGATGATGTTCTATTGTTTCCAAATAAAAAAATAGCATGTTTTCGCTCGACTGAAATAAGTAAAACCCCCTTCATATTTGAAATCCTAATACTGCTGATTCATAGCCTCCTAATGGACTTCAGAAAAATGTTTCCATCTATGAGAGAGGTAGGCCTTAATATGTCAAGCCATTGGGAGTTAAATAAAGCAACAGATTCAAGGACTTCAAGAAACAGTTATTCTTGGACAGTCATGGTTTGGTATACCAAACTTGGGCTTTAGGTCCCCTCTGCTAAAGGAAGAGGCCAGTTATTTAAGCCTAAATGGAGTGTAATTAGATTGGGGCTTACGTCTTGAATTGAAGGAAAGATGTTTGATGTTATTCCTCTGGTCTCTAAATTTATGAACTTAAATTGTCTCTGGATCTTAGAAATAAGAGGATGAAGCTAGTTTAAAAGTTACATTCACAATTGTTCTAAATGTTTGTACTGAGTCACACAATTCGGCCAAAAAACCCTCCTCTCTATCGCTTCGCGTGCGAATTCGCACTTTGAGAGCGGATTGGCCATGAATTTGCGCTCTCAAATTTTCGAATCTGCGAATTCAATATTACAAAATTCGTGAATTCGACAAAGAAAAATATGTGAATTCATATCATTAAATCCGCGAATTTAGAATCAAATTCGCGGATTAGAGATCTATTTTAATAAAAATTATTTTTAATCCCATATTAAATATTTAAATGAGATTAATTATGTCCAAAATGCACTACAGGTAGATAATATATTATTAGAATAAAAATTATTTTTTAAGAAATTATATAATAAAATATAATTTTCTTATATTAATTGTTGAAAATAAAAAATATTTTTGACCCATGAAATCAAGTTTGTGATTTTGAATCTTGACCCATAAACTTATATTTTGACTCTTTAACCTTACACAAATGGATCAAAAAATATAAAAAATAAAAAAATATTTAAATATCAATTGTTTGGCAACCCTTTCAAATATAAGAGATCTTGTATTTTCACTGTTTTGCATCCTTGAAGAAGTACCAAGCACCAACGATTTCGTATTCTCCATTGACAGTTAGCTTATTTATCTAATTGCCTTTATCTTTGCTGTTCAGCTAATAGTTTCTATTCTTCCAATATTTTATAATTTTTTTAAGCTTTTCTTCATGAGTTCTCTATAATTTGTATTTATTCTCACAAACTATGTCTTTATCTCTTAGTCTTAAAAACTCTCGCCAATAATTTTATAAAAAATTCTATTGTTGAAATTTTGACTTCTATGTTTACCATTGTATACCAGTGTAATATTTCTTTAATATTTCATTCTATTTTTTATGATAAAATTGAGTGACATAATGAACAAAAAATTGGATACTATTTCATTAAACAATTCACATGGTTAAGAGTATCAATCAAGGGATCATCTATGTATTTATGTATATATTATGATGTTCTCAAGGTGTTCATGTTCTAAGATTTCTTTGAATTTTTCCGCTCTTGCGCCCCCGCTGTATGTGATCTAGTTCAGGATTACAACGATAACTATTGTTATTTCTTATGAAGATGATATGTTCCTAACTCCCTCTGCCCCTATACTATTATCCTCCTTGAGTTGGCATGTAGTTTTATGAAAAATTTGAATGCATTGACTTTAGTAATAAATTCTTAAGTTGCCACATTTGCCTCAGTGGTAATGGCGGCAAATTTTTTCATATATTTGGTTATAATTTGAAAAGTAGATATAATTAGCTTTGACTTACCAATTGGGATATATTTTAGGCAAATCCTGAAATGGATATTTGGAGACACTTAATCGGGGGCTGAGGAATAGTTATAGAAACAAATGTAGCAAAATATAAGTTTTATAAGATTTGTATCAAGCATTTATAAAATTTGAAACATGGTTCTGCATTCTCCCTCTTTAGTTTTGAGGCTTGCATGCTGCTATAGTTATTGACATAAAACGTGGGTTCTTCTTGTCTATATCACTTAAATGGCAATCCTATTGGTGACATTCTCGTTGCATAGTTTTAAAGTTGTTAGGGTGATTACTAAGGTAAAAATAGGGGTTAGCATAGCAACCCATAACGTAGTCCTCAATCATTTTAGAATTCTAGCAAAAACATGTTGATTCTTGTTGGATTGATGGTGAGAGCTAAGCATAATGCTAAACAATTTTCTTTGCCATGCCAATTGGTTTGGGCGCTTTCTCATTTTTCTTGATCTCTATCTGGGGTGTGAAAAGTCGACTATTACCATGATCCTAATGCAGATTGTGTTTCTTTGCAGGGTCGTGGTGGACCTGGAATGGTCTCGAGTATTGGTTAGTTTTTTTTATTCTTTACTTATGGCACATCGAATTTGTTTACAATTTCTTTCATATGAATAAATCCTAAAAACATTTTGTTCATGGATAATTTAGACCCTCAAAAACAATTTGGGGGCCCAGCAATCCTTGGGGATGCTGGTCTTAAGCAGCCAATAGGTCTATCAGTAGCTATGGCTGCTGCATCACTCATGGCGGGAGCTCTTGGAGGTCCTCAGATTGGGAGCAACTCCAATCAAAGTGGCCATCAGGGCCAGGCGGTTTTGGGCACCGATCTGTTGACCCTTCATCTGGCCAAAATGTCAAGAAACCAGTTGAATGAGATTATTTCTGAGATGAAGGTAAGTGTTTGAATCCAGTTTAACTTGTGTTTTTGAATAAATTTGAATACATGACATGGTACTAAATCCATTTATCTGATTCAGGTAATGGCTACACAAAAACCGGAACAAGCCCGCCAGTTATTACTTGCAAGCCCGCAGTTGCCAAAAGCTCTTTTGCAGGTTTTTTATCAATCATTTATGCCTTAGAGTTTTTGAAAAACATATTTTTGGTCACTGTGACTTTCTTATCCTATACTTTCTGGTTTTGATCGAACCATCTCTTACCTGGATTATGGCTCCCTCGTGCTTTCTACCATTTTTTTAATATATGTGGAAGTTGTGTCATTCATTTTCTTAACCTTCTAGTCAACTCAATTGTTGTAGCACCATGAACGATTGCTTCTGAATTCTGGATGTTTGGCTTTGACCTCATAGTTGTTCCTACTAAAGACTCCTTTTTCTGCATACTACCCACATACATAGCGCCTAGATCTTCGAGAGACTGGACTTCATGAAAGCTAAGGGTGCGTTTGTTTATTGGGAAATAGGTGGTAAATGTGGGAAAAAGCTATCTTCTTGTCTATTTGTTTAGCAAGAAAGATAAAAGAAAATGCGGGAAATTCCCGCTCCTAAAAATCTTACTTTTTTACTGATGTTGATTGCTTTTCCCACTAGTAGTATATTTTGATGGGAGTCAAGCATGAGGTTGTATTTGATGCCCCAAGGTGGTTGTCTTGGTTTGTCATTCCTTGACGTGTCTGTGAAACAATGAAAAGGAGGTCAGTGTCGACCATTTCACTAGATTGCACAAATTGTTTTTGGCTTCATCTGAAACGTTGCACCTACAAAATTATCCTATGTTTCATTTCTTATCCGCCTAAAAGAACTAAAAATGGAACATTTTGTACTTTTTGACCAAACTTTTTGACATTGTCTTCTAGGGTTTGACCATACGTATTGAAATTTTATTCTAGGGTTTCTTCTTGTAAATCTTTAATATGGATATTCTCATTGATCATCATAGTATTCCACTTTTTTGCCCCCTAAAAATTTATTTGGAAAAGTGCATCTCTTAAAATTGAAGTTTTTCCTTGGACTATTGCTCATAAGAGACTCAATACTCACGAATTTGTATCAGAGAAGGAGACTTCATTGTTTACTTGTGACGGAGTGTTTTATTATGTGTAGGAGGGTGGAGTTGTGATAATTTTTTTCTACATTGTCCCGTTGCTATGTCGTCATGAAGAAGGTTATTTCCTTTGATGGATTTTTGTTGGATGTCACTTTTATGTGAATCTATGTTTTCCATTGTATTCTAGGGCTTTAGGAGCAGCGCTCGCTTTCTTTGGAGATATGTGGTGTGGGCAATCTTTTGGTCTCTGTGATTGGAAATGAAAGCAAGAATTATTCAAAATACATTTAAGAAGAGCTTGATTTGTGGGAGAGAGTTCAATTCTTGGATTGTTGCTGGGCTTCGATGTTTTGCGATTTTGTTAGAACTTCTTTGTTTCTTATTAGGACAAATTGAAAATCCGTTTGTGAGATGTAGCCTTCTTTTTGTTTTTTGGTTTTTCTTTAAGATCATTCATTTTATGTACCGACTTTTAAAAATTATGCATGCCCTTCATGCTTGAGTGGGCATTAGTCATGCAAACTTATGTATCATATTTGCTCTTGACCACTAAAGCAATATTTCTTGTCTTAAAATTTCCAATTGAAAACCCCTTTATCCCAAAATCTAGACACTACCATCCACCTAATCTAGACCCCTTTAAAATTTCGTTGGAATTCTATATGAAATTTGGTTATCAAGAGCAAATATGGATTACAAGCTAATGATGGATGAAATGCTAATAGGATTGAAAGGAGAAGTTTCTAGTGCCCGTGGAAATTTATATCCAAGTGAGTGACGAGGTTTTTCCAAAATCTTAAACTGGTTGTATGTGATGGGGAGAGAATGCATGGGTTGGATAGTCATATTTTTCATCTTTGTTTCCTCATATCTATCAATTGTTTGATTCTCATGTCGTATTCATTGTGGCTATGCTTCAGTCTTATAATCATCCATACTATTAGGACTTGGGTTTTTGTAGGAATCAAGATGATAGAGGTACTAGGTATTTGATAGCTTTTCTTTATATTCTTGATTTATCTTTTTTGAATCGAGAACATGTGACAAAAGAAAATGGGTTTGTGAGTTTTCTGGTGTCTTTTCTAGTAAATCCTTCTTTGATTTGTTAAATGATTCTTCTTGTCCTATTTTCCCCCCAACTTCAATAATACAAAGGGCTAAGGAACTCGTTAAAGTGCAAGTGTTTGCAAGAACTGCTACACATGATAAAATTACCACCAATGATTTGCTTTAGAAAAGAATGCTTCATACTTGTCTTTGTCCACAGTCAAGGATCAAAATTTTGTTTTGGTTCATTGTTTTGGTCACCGAGAAAATGAAAATATTTCAACCCACTTCAAAAACATTTCAAATTTTTTTGAAAATAGAATGAAAACAAATAAAAAATTTGAGAATTATTTTTTCAAAACATTGGTCGAAATATACCAAAGTATCTTGAAACATTCCGAAACAAATGTGTAAATGCGTCCAAAATATTACAAAACATCTTGAAACATTAGGAAACACCTCGAAGTATTAGAATTTTATTTCCATAACTGATTCGTTTCGGTCTTCTTAGAAACGGAAATATTTTGGCTGTTTAGATTGTTTTGAAATGAAATTTTAATTCTAGCCCACAGTGGTGTATGATGTGTAAATGTGCTTTGGAAAGCATTGATTATTGATTTCTAAATTGACCTATTGTTATGCCCTTGTGGAATAAAGTTAGTTGGTTTGGCGGATATGAGTTAGGTGATTCTTGAATTATCTGTATCCTTGTTTATTGAAGATTGGAAAGGTTTTAGGAGGCTTGATAAAGGCATGACTCTTTAGGATTGTGCTATTTTTTCAACATTCGGGGTTATTTGGAAGGAAAGAACTGCAATAATATTTGAAGATTGAAGCGAATGGATGGAAGGATTATGGGATCTTATTTTCTAACTTTTTTTGTGCATCAATAACTAAGGACTTTAAAAGAATTCCTCTTTTTGCTATTCTAGCAGATTGGAGAGCTTCATATGATTTATAGGCTTTGATGTCTTTTTTTTAGGATTCTTTATCCAACTTTTTTATGTACCTTTCATTTTCTATTAATGCAAAGTGTATGTTTTCCTATCAAGAAACAAAAAACAAAAAAAAAATTGGTTCCTTGAGTTGTTGGATTCATGTCTCTCTGTCTACATATGATAGGAATAGCAATGCACTAGGTTCATGTTCTAATGTCTAGATGCTGATGCACTTGGTTCTACGTAGCAAAGATCAAAATTTCGTTTCGGTGTATTATTTTGATCACTTAGGAAACGGAAACGTTTCGATATATTTTAGAAACGTTTTGACCTGTTTTGAAAATATAATAAAAAAAATAAAAAAATTAATAATTATTTTTCCAAAACATTGGTCGAAATATACTAAGGTGTCTTGAAATAATTTGAAACATTCTAAAACAATTGTGCAAAATACATTGAAATATTACAAAACACCTCAAAGTATTAGAATTTCGATTCTATCACTGATTCGTTTCGATTTCCTTAAAAACAGAAATTTTTCGGATGTTCCGACCGTTTCGAAACAAAATTTTAATCCTTGTACGTAGCCTCCACTTTTGAGTGATCACACATTGGGGAGATGCTGAGAGCTAAATATAAACTGATAAGCTCATTCCCTTGCAACTTTAGTTTTGAAATGAGTTGTGGTTTAACATGGTATTAGAGCTAGTTAATTATCAAACTCAGAATCAACTATCACTTAGTAGAGAGACTAACAAGCTTCTTACACTAGTTTGGGAGGTGGTATTATATCAATGTGAGTCAACCGATGCCAAATGCTTCTTTATAAAAAAAAACGTCTATCAAGGTGGTCCGAAAACATAAGCATATTTTCTGTTCTCGTTTTGCGGTAACTCATTTGAAAATTCCTCATATTTAGATAATGTCCCAAGACCTTTATCCACATAACTGGATTAAACAACATTTTGCATCCTATTGACCACCTTTTTTATCAGTCACCCTTTTATACTCTTCTGCCACAGGTTCCTGGGCTTTTTCTAAATCTCAATATTTCCTTCTTGAAAGCTTAGTAATACGAAGTGGTCAATATCTAGCATTGGGTCAAATATAAAATTTCACTCTTGAATTTTCTTGTTTTTGTAGGTTTCAAAGTCTCTCTCTCACACACATTTCAGTCCGATGTCCTTATATTGTAGTTTATATTTGTCTTATTTAGAGCTGTGAAAATGATGCTTGTCCATTCGTTTTGGTGATTGCCTAGATGGATGCTATTTTGAGTTTGAATACAGTTTTGAAGTTCTTAAGTTTCCTATTCTCCCGCATCTAGGATCATCAGTTTTTGAATCTATTCGGCTTGTTTGTGTTTCATTAGGATAAAAATTTAGGTGTAGCCATTGTCATCTGCAGCATTTAACAGCTTCGTATTTTTCTTTACTGCAGGCCCAGATAATGTTAGGAATGGTTACCCCACAGATGGTTTGTTCGTTACTCCAAAGTTTCGTTGTTATGCTGTTATATCATGTTACCCATTACGAGATTGTCTGACAAAAATTCATTTGATTTCTTTGATTTGTGCAGTTGCAGATGCAAAATATTCGACAGGCTTCCGGTTCACTTCTGAAGCCTTTGTTGCAAGATGGTGAACAGGGTCAGCGGCCAGAAGTTCAAAATCTTCCAGGGCTTCCCTTTCTTTTACAGAACAAGATGCAGTTTGGTGTGATGCCTCAATCACAAGAAGGTCAAGTAAATCAGTACCTCTTACAACTTCCTACACGGCCTCATATTCAGCTTCCACAGCTAACCCAGCACCAAGTTTTACAACAAGGCCCATTGCCTGGGCAGTCTGGAGTTTCAACCCTTCCATCAGTTCGTATGCAGTGGTTAGGCGATCTGTCTGTTCGGCCTCAAATTCAAGTGGCAAATTCCTCTTCTTTGAAGCAGGAAGTGGAACCTCTGTTACACGGCCCTTTGGGAAATAATGCTCAGCTGGTTGGTCCAAATGCACCCCTTCAACCTTCTCTTTTGATTCGTCCACTACTGTCAGATCATGGTTTTCAGGTGGCAAAACTCACTGTCTTTTAATATACAAAAGGGAAATAGCCAAACGCTGGTGTCTGTTGAAGAATGCTGTTGCCCTTGGGCTAACTTGTGTATAAAGCATTCTTTCAACTCAGTTGATTTCTTTTTCCTGGAAGAAAAGGTGTTGCATCTCCATCTTGAATTTCATGAGTAATAAACTAGAATTAAAAACAGATGTGGTTGTAAGTTGTAACTGAAACTGAAACTCATGCAACCATGCATAGAAGATCATATTCTTCGCATAAGTTGAAACTGAAACTCATGCAACCTTTGCTTTGGCTGAGAGCATGTACCAGCTAGTGTCAGTAGAAATTGCTTGTTCTGATAGATAATTATTTCATTACTATACTTTGCAAAAGTCATTTCTTTAATAACACCAAAATTGATGTTCTCTATATTCTTTCTGTTAACAGCATAGCTACTCATTATTATCTGGCATTACACAGGACTCTAATAGACCTCCACAAGTTACTAATGATTCAACTTGGAGCCATAGAGTTGATACGTATCCCAGCTTGTCTTCAGACATATCAGAGAAAGCAGACATGGTCTGTGACATTTTAGACCCAATGAAGCGCCCTTCAAAACTGGTGAAATTAGAGGATGGAAGAAGGACCACTTTCTTGGGGCCAGATGTAAACGGCTCTGCTGTATCTGGCCCATCGCAGGTTTTTGGCTTGTCTGGAAACCAAAAGCCAAAACCACAAGAAGCTTTAGATTCTGAGAAACAAGCTCCTCAGGTAATCTGTTCTTGCTGGGGAATCAGAAGTTTGCATCCATCTATTTTGGATCTGTGCACGCATCATCAATGCATTTCTTGTTTTAGTCTCGCTTAAATGACATTTTCGTCCATTTAAGCTCCATGGTTTCAAGCTTGAAAATGCTGATAATGGAACAGTTCCATTATGACCCATGACCCTTAATAAAGAACCATATTCCTTAATAAAAGAATCATATTCAGTGTTTGTTGAAAACGTGAAAAGTTTTGGAAGGTTTGATAAGGTTGTTATACTTTGGAAGTGTGCTATCATGGCTACGTTTTGGGTTGTATGGAAGGAATGAAACGCAAAAATTTTTGAAGACCGGAGTGAGAGATTGGAGGGATTTAGCGTCTCTTTGGTCTTCGGTGCCGATGGAGTACAAAGGAATTTCGCTTTTTGCTATTTTAGCGGGATGAAGAGATTCATTTGATATAGGTTTATTGTTTTAGTGTTTATTTCAATGTTGTGGTTGGATTCCTTATCCAATTGTATTTGTATCCCATATTTTATTTCTTAATAAAATAGTCTGTTTTCTATCAAAAAAGAAAAAAAATAAAGGAGCCATATCCCTACCGGACAAGACCCGACATTTCCTGGTTTCCTATGGTAGTAGTTTTTTAAGTGAGACATTTTGTCAGTTGTCTTGAAAGCCACTCTTGCTTTGTGGGATTTTGATGAGGCTCCTGACTTCTAAGTAGAGTTAGTGTCTTCGCATGCTTAACATTTGCCATTTTCATGATAAAATGTTAGCATTTGGCAAGCTTGGTATGTTGGTATCTATCAACTAACATTAGCTACATTCTTAGCCTATTTCATACTTTTGTTTTGGTTGGTACTATACTTGTTTATCTCATCTTCTTGTCATCCTTGGATTGGTCAATCTCATTTGATTTGGATCAAATTTGTCAGCCTTTAATTATAAAGTGGCTTATTCCCTAGTTGCACAATTAGGTTGGAATCCATGCTATAAATGCTTCAGAAACCTATTCTCATGACATATGAATGCTAGGTTATTTTACTTATGGGTATTATTTTAATCTTCACTTTATTATGAGTTGATATAAACATGGTTGATGAGAGAAGAGGTAGGTTAACTTTCATTCTCTTTAACCTTAGTTTCTAATCTCTCCCTATGTCTCTCTCCTTTCTTGCCTCTTCTCCGCTCTAAATCCTAGGATCTATGATCTTTAAATTTTAACTTGGTATTAGAGCAATCAAATGAAAGTTCGAAGTCATCAGAACATTCAAGAAGGCATTGGGAAGCTGACGTCATTGTCGAAATGATGATGTAATTGTCGTAAGTGACCAAACTTGACATAGTTTGAGTCAGTTTTGTCTTCCGTGTAGGTTTTATCTTTTGTGTTTCCAACTGCTAGTGTGGTCTTTTTTTTTGTGTTGGCTTAATCCCAATATTGCTATCCGCCTATGTTAGAAAAGTTCTCTTTGCTAAGAAGACATGTTTGGAGTTAGTGTAGAATCTACCAGCACTGAAAAAGGTTAGGTGAGTCATGTACGGACTTTTGGATGCAACTATTCTCTCCAGATCAGTCCTATAAAATTGGATAGGGGTAACTATTTGGCTTGGTCTCGATCATGTCTGTTATCAGTGTAGGCTAGTGGGCTAAACGGATACTTGGAAGGAACAAGAAATCCAAATTTGAACCTAATCTTTGTCAGTGGATCTTTGAAAACTCGTTAGTAATGACAGGCTTACTAATTTGATGCAGTCTCACATTAGTTGTGGGTTTTTGTTTTTTGAGATAGCTAGTGAGATTTGGTAAGCCGTAGCGCAGAGATATTCATATGTCATACTTCATACACTTGCTTATGATCGGTTTGCTCTACTAGTTGTTCCACGGAGAGAGAATAGATCTTTTGAGCCTCGTGGTGATGGTGAAAATGGGAGCATGAAAAAGGATATATTAAAATGTGACTATCGTGAGAAGACGATGAACACTAAAAATCATTGTTGGAAGCTACATAATCGTCTTTCTAGGGGGCATGGTGGTAATAGGGTTGATCTTCTCTCATGTGCCCATATGATTGAGATTGCTGATCCTACCCCCAGTGGTCCATCTCAATCTACTGGTACTAAGAGTGCAGGTTTCACTGTTGCATCCATGCTCTTATTCGCCTAATGGCCCGTCTTGATACGTCTTTTGCATGTGCTTCCATTTTTGTTGCTTTCTATTTTGCTCAGGTATACATGACAATGCTTTTACTGCATCTTGTTCTCCTAATTTTTGGATTATTGATTTTTGAGCCATTGACTATATGACAGGCTCCTTGATGTTGTTCTCCTCTTATTCCATATGTTGCGGTAGAGGTAAAGTTAGGGTAGATGACTTGTTTGCATCTGTATTAGGGAAAGGTTACATTAATTTTTCTCCTTTTATGTCTTTGGCTTCAGTTCTTCATGTCCCTAACTTTTCTACTAACTTACTCTTAGGTTAGTACTCTTAGTCAGTAGCATTACAAAGTTTTTAAATTGCCATGTAACATTCTTCCCATCTCATTGTGTTTTTCAAGAACTTGGAACGGGAAAAATGATTGGCAGTGGTAGAAGTAGAACTCATGTTGGTTTATATCTGTTGGAGGATCAACCTTGTTAGGCACTTCAGGCTTCTGAATCTGTGGCCCTCCAACAGTTATACCAATGGCATCGTAGACTTGGTCATCCATCAATTGGAGTATTAGATAATCTTTTTCCTGTTTTGATGAAATAATGTAATAAAGATAATTTTTTTTTTGATGCTTGTGAATTTGCCCAACATACAAGAACTTTTTATTCTAGTAATAATAATAGAAGCACTGCTTCGTTTATGATTGTTCATTCTGATATTTGGGGACCATCTCATGTTGTTTCTCTTGCTGGATATCAATGGTTTGGTACTTTCATTGACTGCTACGCTTGGGTTACTGGGGTTTATTTGTTGCATAACAAGGATGAAGTGTTTACTTGTTTAAATTTTTTTTATAAATTGGTATATACTCAATTTGATGCCAAAATTAAGATTCTCAGGATTGATAATGAGACTGAATACTTTAATGGAGAATAATGGGCTTATCTTATGGAACATGAAATTTTTTATCAATCTAATTGTGTGGATACATCTGAGTATAATGGTGTAGCATAGAGCAAGAATCGACATCTCATTGAAGTGGCACGCTCCTTGATGTTTATTATGGGTGTCCCTTCATATTGTTGGGTAGATGCAGGGTTGACTACTGCAAATCTCATCAATTGGATGCCTTTGAGAGTTCTTGATTTTCTTATTCCTATAAAGTTGCTTCAAGGGTCAATTTCTCTTTACTCTATTCCCCTAAAGGTGTTTAGTTGTGTGTTGTTTTGTGCATGATTGTTGAAAGACCAAGAGAAAGTTGGATCCAAAGGCGTTGCGTTGTCTTTATTGCCTGCTACCCAAAAAAGGTCCAAGTGTGATCATGCTTAGTCCCAGAAGGTGTATGCTAGTATGGATGTTGCATTCCATGCGACAATTGTACTTCTCCACTCCTCCATTATCTCTTCTGGCGGAGTAATGTATTGAAGAATAGATGTTGGAGAATGGATTCCTTCTGTTAACCCCCGATCAGGGCTTGAGTTAGGGAGAAACATCTGTTCAAGGGGAGCAGACGACTTGTGGAAGATTAGATTAGGAGGATTTGCGATGCTATACTCGATGACACACTAAGCAGATCACCACCTATGAGTCACCAAGTCAGTCATCATCTCTAGATTCAGTTTTAGAGATCTCTTCCCCTTTATTAGGTAATGAGTCTCTTTGTAGTAATCTTATTGATGATAGTTCTTTACCTATTGTTTTTCGAAAAGGAGTTTCTAAATTTGTTTTTTATGACCCTTTGTATTTTGTGTTTCATGTTTGTCTTCTATATCTATTCCTCAGAGTTGAAAGGAAATACTTGCAGAACTCAAGTGGAAAGCAACCATAGTAGAAGAAATGAGAGCTCTGGGAAAGAATGAAACTAAGAGCTTATATCTCTTCTAGTGGGGAAAAAATTAGTAAGTTGTAAGTGGGTGTTCACTGTTTGGTAGAATACAGATGATACAATCGATATATACAAAGCAAGATTGGTAGCTAAGGGGTTTACTTAGACATATGACATTGACATCGACTATCAAGAGACATTTGCTCCTGTGGTGAAGATGAATTCTATTTGTGTCATTCTTTCTTGTGCTGCCAATTTGGGATTGATTTACAACAACTAGACGTAAAGAATGCATTCCTTCATGGGGACTTAGAGGAGGAAGTGTACATGAATATTCTTCCGGGATTTTCTTCCCCAGCTTTGGACGGAAAAGTATGTAAGTTAAAGAAATCTCTTTATGGACTAAAGCAGTCTCCTAGAGTCTAGTTTAACAGATTTTATAACGCGATGATCAAGTTTGGGTAAATCTCTGGTTGAACATTATGACAATTTGAAAGGATTATGGGAGGAACTTGTGTTGTATCAACCACTGAGTGAAGATTTGGAGATTCAACGGCAACAGCGAGATAAATTTTAGACTGCATTGTTATTGTCAAGCTCTAACTTAGAGTATGGTGTCTTTAAGGATTAGATTTTGGCTAGTGCGACACTTCTAACTACTGCAAATGGCTACTCTCGTATGGAGAGAGCTTCCTTAACTCGAAGGGGATCTTCATCTCAGGAGTCTTCTGCCTTATTCTCTAGTGATGGTGGTGGTTACCTTTCATCCTCGGGTTGTAGTAGAGGTTCTATTTGTAGTCGTGGCAGCTGCTCCAAGTGGAAATGTTCTTATGTGGGTGTAGACATCAAAAAATAATAATGTCTAGCCCAAACTAAAATCAGACAAGTTCTCAAATCAAATTGGGCTGGACCCAAAACTCATAAGCCCAAATCATATTAAAGCCCAATCCATAAATATGGAACCAAGTTACATTGGGCCTGAAATGCCATAGGCCCAAACAAATAAAGCCCAAAATGAGTAAATTCTATACCAAATAAAGCATAAACAAATAAGGCCCAAACAAAACAAATGAACAAATAACAAAGCCAAACCATAAGGCCCAACCCATAATACTAAATTGGAATAGGCCTAAGTCCAAATTCATTAAAGCCCCAAATTAAAAACAAGCCCAGCCCATATAGGGGTATTTTAGTAAATACCCCTTGA